TGAGTCTGTTTTGTGTAAGAAATAACAGGTTCATACACTCTCAGAAATAGGGGTACCAAAGTGTACCAAAAAGGGTACAAATGCTTGTCGCTGGGGGTGTTCCTTTTTGAAGGACATTTCTGTACCCTTTAGGCTTGGTACATTTTTGTACCTTATGAAGTTGTACCATCTGAAGTACAATCATGTACTTTCCTAAGACATAAATGTACCTTCAAACTATAGTACAGAAATGTTCCCTTGAAAAGGGTACAATAGGGTACCTATGAGGGTACCCCCCCAGCGACAACCTATTTCGTACCTAAAGAGACAAAAATGCACCCCCAATAGTCCAAAATATTTGGTTATTTAACCATTTATTTTCGATAATAGAATCACATCAAAGCATTTAAACAACCACAGGAATACATCCTTGATTACATTCATATATTGCCATAGGACATGTTAAGAAAAATACATTCATTTAAAAAAAGTAAACAATCACATAAAGACATTAAACACCTGAACACAATGTTTTGACGGATCACAGAGATGTCATGTATTTAAAAAACTGTCCACACAAATGTTTTGCTCTACTTCATCAAGCCAGAATATATATATGTCATATATATAGACAAAGTGGAAAATGTTCTTGCAATCATGTCACACAGAATACCTCAAGGACACAAACAGTCTATCATCAACTAAATAGGTGTCTAGAGCTTGAAAGTCTAATTCATTTCCTGGATTGAACAGGATCCAGTCATTGTCAACTGCCACTTGGTAAGCATGGAAATGACATTCATAAGTGTGAGGAAGTAACAGTTTCCCACACAATACCCAACAAGTATCAACATTCAAAATATACTTGATTTTAAAGAATATAGGTATGGCTTCAGTGTGTACATGGCCAACTACAAAAACATCCTCAAGTTCATATTTGACACTGCTGACAGATATAGCAGACACACGCTGAAGCACTTTATCCTGAAAATGCACATCTGTAAAACTTTTGTTCATTTCCAGAGCATTCTGTAAGTCACCTGGCAGAGATGAAAATGGCACACTGACACTTGTGCTGAGTGAATGTTCAAAGTCAACAAGCAACCTACCTGAAGAAAACTCCCAGCACTGTTTCATTTGATGACGATTGCTAAGAGTTGCAGTGATGTTTACAAAGTTTTTGCATTTACTCGCTATATTTTTGAAATATTGATGCTTGCTTTCATATCTCATACACCACAAAGGGCGAAGAGGACCATACATCAAAATCAGCCTTGGGTAGTGAATAAGGTAGTGACACTTGGGTGTTAAAACATTTCCAAAGACTTCTGTAGTCATTTCAAGAAATTCTTGAATAAGCAGGTTTAAATGAGCAAGCTCATCTTTTCTCACATTTGTAGCCATTACAAGATCCACGATTTCTGAACATAATAAGAACACATGCCAATATGGAGTGCCAGGTGGAACATGGGGAGCCATTAAAAAAGGCAAGAGCCTGAAAAGGCACCATTTTTGACTGGCTGATCCAACTATGTTAGAATTTCGAAGCATCTTTTCCGTCAGTGGCACTGGTCTGTTCGGCTTGTCATTCCTCCCAAACTTCACATTTTTCAGCTCATCATTGATTTCATATATGGTGATGTGCTTTTCCCTGTGAGCTTTACAAATAACCAAGTTCATTACCAAAGGAATAACCCCCTCCAGCAAGTCGTGCATTACATCTGGGGGAAGAGACTGGGTCACATCAAAATAAGGCAGTGCATCAAATGTACAGTTACCATCCACACCGTACAAAGCAGCACTCTCTGGGTTGTTTTCCACACAGTTTATGTGGTACTCATGTACTTTGGTTGTTCTAATAACAAAATGGTCCTCACAAAAGTGCTGTTGTATCTCCGAGTGCGAGGCCATACAAAATCGGCATATTCTGCCTGTATTGAAAGACATTGAGAAACGCCCAATCATATGAGCAGAAAGGTTGTCGCATGAAATGGTAGCAAGAGCAGCATGAACTGTGTGCTCTACTTCATCAACACAGATAGTGAAACCCTCTGTGGACAGCATCTTCAAGTCAGTTATCAAGGGCTGAAGTATAGTTTCAAGCCCACACTCTTTTAAATGTGAATGGCGAACCAGTAAGGCTAAATGAATGTGACTCAACTTTGAGCGATGTTTTCCACTTATGTTTCCTATAGTATAATAAAATGCACAGATTTTGTATTTATTTCGTTTTGCACCAAGTGGGTTCACAATTTCAAATTCATCTTCATAAAAATGAAGTCTTAGAGCTTGAGGATGGTCTTTGAAAAATGAGTGGTCTTTAAAATACATGCCATCTTTGTAATCAGTCAAAACATCATCATCTTGATTTCTGTGGTTATCCAGAACAATTTGTTCCCACACATCCTCCACCTGACAGTATTTGTTTAATACCTGTAGGATTGGAACATACGAATAACTACCAATTTTCACACCAGAATGGTCTCTTACTGTGTAACTGATAGGTTCTGTCATGTTCATTTTTGATTTGCAGTGTTCTTTTATCATAAATGGTGAACGAATTGAATCACATGCTTTCTGGAAAAAATCTGAAGTAGACAAAACCTGCTCAAGTTCTGGACAATCACTGAGGCGGAAACCATGTTTATCCAAATGATAACGAATAAACGAGTCGTAGTTTTCTTTAAAAAAACACAAAAGAAAACTAAGATCATCAACGATGTCTTGCTGAACAGAGTGTGGAAGGTTATTTTTTTCAGTACATTTGAGAATAAAGCTAAATAAATGATCTCCTAAATTATCAAGAAAACTGTCCATACTAGGTGGTGTGGGCTGCTGAACTGTGTGCGTCTCGTCTGAACTGTGTGTGTGTGGGTCTTCAATCTCTTTGTGTGCATGGTTTTCAAATCCATCTTCAACTACCTCAAGGCTATTCAAACACAATGTTTTGACGGATCACACATGGCGTTGAAAAGAGTGATACTTGGAAAAAGCTGCCTGGCAGTCATTTATTCCACAAGTGATGCCGAAATGAGGCTCATGTGCGTGTACTAACCCAACATGTGTAATCAACTTCCTCAGAGTAAATGCCCTTTTTGAACATTTTGAAAATTTGTGGAGTGGGGGCATATTTAATAGAGTTGGTTAAGTACCCTGGTGACACTTACTGGCAGGGGTTTGTCTCCCTGGTCTCCTATGTTGACAATGCAGTTCTGAAGAAAGACAAGTGTTTTCTTGAAGTATATCTCCTCTT